GCACTAGAAGACGAGGCTTTCAAGTTCTCAACGTTGAATATGAGTTCTTTGGGGAGCATATTGTAACGCAAAATCATGGACTCTCTGATCCGCACGAGAACCGCTTCTCTACAGGAATCCAATCCCGTTGCTGCGCCAATAGTCTCATGATGTGCAGAGTGGCCCTCGCTCGGGCTAGCTTGGTTCAGTAGCTCCGTTGCCTCCGAAACGTCTAACATAAACTCCACTGCGAGAGGAAATATCATGTTCGATATGGAGATTTCCTTCGTTAGGTCCAATTGTGCTAACTTCATGTCCTGGTACGAAGGCACCGGGGCATGCACTTGACTCCGCCTAAAAGTAGGCTGTCGTCCTGTTGTCAAGGAAGCATAGACATCCAGGATAAACACTGACCAAAACATGACAAGTCGAGCCTTCTGCTGATGGAGAGCTGATTGCTCGTTCGTCAGGGCGTACGTCCCGTCAGGAGAAGGTCGTGCATGGTCATGAAAAATCAGGTTTGGATCGGTGTCCGTCTCGGTGGTGCGATGGAAACCCAAGGTCTTGTGCCATGCGGATTGCCATACCAGCAAACATCCAAAGGCCGGCTTCGTTGTCTTCACCAAATTCTGCCCATGAGAGCAGCACTAAGCCTGCTACAATTTCAGGCTCCGGGACACTCAGAAGAGGTACTAGCTGTTCCTTGGCCTTGGCCAAGAAAGGCAGACCGTTTCGCCAGGGTAAGTTCTGCTTCTCTTCGAGTATTACCAGTGGGCTATCAGTTGGACAGAAGCGCAAGGCAAGGGCAGCAATCGCATTGAGAAGGAAGCTCGATGCCACTTCAGAACGCACATGAGTTTCTAAAACTGCGCGGTTCATGAAGGGGAAATGGCCTCCAAGGTGTTCGAAGAAGATATCGAAAATTCGAGGGATGATTCTTTGGTGAGGCTGTTGGCCCGAGTCGTCAAAAAGCTGTATTCCGGCCCGTGATAATGAAGTCGAAGAGGCGGTATACCGTGGAGGATTCCTAGTGTTTTCGTTGCACGTGGTGTCTTTGTCGATATCGAATTGCTCTTCTTCCCCAGATTTCACTATGAGAGCCAATCTCCCCAGACCAGGAGAAATAGCTGTAGGCCCAAATCTTCTGTAGCAACGGATCCTCATCAAACTCTGCGTTCTCTTGCCCAACAACTCCCTGGGAGTGTTCAGACTGAGGCTTGGGCCAAATTAAAATGTTGAGCAATCTTTCGGCCACTCATCTGGAATTCCAAAGTCGAATACTAAGTCTTCAAGCTCAGAATACGTTTGAGGAAACTGAGCGGTCTCGACTTCGCATATCCCCGGACGAATTGCTTGTGTTGTGAAGGAGGCCGGGTCTCCATTTTCATTTGACGGAGACTGCAAGGAAAACGTGCCTAGACCCAACGCCTCGGCCATCATTCCGACTGACGGAGTTGCCAAAGAAACATGCTGCCCGTTCGCATCTTCCCGAAAGTCGAAGTCGAAAATCTGTCTTCCCCGCGTATCTGGAGATGGCGAATGCTCTTTTGGGGACCTCGCGATTGGCGCATGGTTGTGCTCGCCATCGACGCTTTCAACGGCTTCACCAGCTACACCTCTTTGACGTCTGCGGCGATCCACAAGGTCCCATTGGCATTCCAGGTTGGCTTCCTCACATGGCTGACAACTCGAGCGCTGTTTGGGATTGCGGCGATGAGACCTAGTGTCGTAGACGCCATTCCCGTGGTCATTTTCGGAGCATTTGATCTTGCGAAGATGGCACATTCGACATGCTGTGGACGTTTGGCCAGACCTTCGTTTCTCGCGGTTCCGCTGTTCTCGGAGGTGAAAATCATCCGCAGTACAGACTCTGAACGTGGCGGCCTTGGCGCCTCGATTGCGCATCGGCGGGCGGCGCGGAGCGGACTGGGACGCAGAGGAGCTTTCCATAACTGGCAAGTTGATGCTTTCCAATATTGTCTGACTAGTACTTTTCAAAAGTTTCCATGTGAGATTTGAAGAGTTGATGCCGGAGAGGGACAGAAAGTGCCTGTCACGGAATTATGCTCGGGTGTAGCTTCGGCCCTGTTCAATCCCTGGCAACAACCCCGCATGACGGCGGAGACGCGAAAGTTCCGCCCCCATCAGCATTGCAGACATCATCGGGATTACCATTTTGGGTAATTTTGATGATCTGCAACTGACGATGGATGCTACTCCACACTGGCGTTCAACTACAATCCGGGGTAGCGGAAACAACCCCGTGGGGATGGACGTGGGTCAAACGTCAATACAGCTGCGGCTGTGAACCCTATATGATAAAGTGATGTGAATGTTTATCTGCCGAGATCGATATTGTCTACCAACTTGTCTTTTTGTTGTTGGTTTTTGTTTTTGAATCTTACCACAAGTCAAGCTGTTTAGCATACGCAAGTCTCCATGAAGATGCGATCTTGGTTGGGAAGAGGCAAAAGTCTTCAGCTTGGTGTAAACGCCTGCTGTGTGGTTGCATTTATTCTCTATGGCTGGGAACAAGGAGTTTTCGGGCCGATTCTAAAGAACGAAGATTGGCTTGATCTCTTCAACCACCCATCTGACTCGGCAACTGGTATCATCGTTTCCTGCTACAATCTTGGCTGTCTGTTAGGCTGCGCCAGTAAGAAATCCCCATCTTTTGGTTGACTTCAGTTTGACTCGTCCGCTGTTGGAGCTAACACAGCTCAACCCCAGTGACATTCCTCTTTGGCGAAAGGTTGGGACGAAGATGGACGGTCTGGATAGCCATGAGCCAGATTGCGATTGGCACAGCCCTGCAGGTCTCAGCATATCACATCGCTCACCTCATCGTTGGGCGCGTTGTCACCGGGATGGGAACTGGTCTCAAGACGTCGACTGTTCCAATGTTGGTTTTGTTTTGCTATCGCCTTATCCTGGAGCTCTTCTAACGTCGCCAAAGGTATCAATCAGAGCTTTGCCCACCGACCACGAGGGGCCGTCTTGTCAGCGCCGATGTCATGTTTGTTGGAGTGCGCTTTCAGCCCAAAAGTATGACACTCTTTCCTTTCCGCTGACGTCTCCGAAAGATCGGCATAAACATCGCCTACTGGTTCAACTTTGGCATGAGCTACGTCGGAGGGCCCGTCGCGTGGCGTCTTCCGATCTCTATGCAAGCACTCTTCGCAATAGGGGTGATATTTCTCGTGTTCGCATTACCCGAGTCCCCTCGATGGCTTTTCAATCATGGAAGGCAGGAGGAAGCCATCGAAGTACTCTGTTTGATCTACGACAAAGACCCCGCCGATCCTGTCATTCTCGCCGAGCGCTCCGCGATACAGCAGGCAATTGCACTCGAGTGGGTTGGAACTCAGCAGGGCCAGGGATCCTTCTCCATCTTCAAGCGGGACCGCGTGCGAACAGGATATCGGATATTCTTAGCTTGGCTCATTCAGTTTATGAACCAGGCCAGGGGTAGTAACCTAGTTGTCTATTACATTCCCGTTGTTCTCCAAGACAGCGTGGGTTTGACTGGCCGAACGAGTTCGATCCTGGGTGGGTTCATCCTCCTTATGTTTGTGGTGGGAGGAATCTGGCCCTCTCTGGCTCTTGACCGAATGGGGCGTCGTAAAACGATGACGGTAAGCAGCAACAACCCTTTTACTTTCCGATGATCCACCTCTTTACTGGCGCGACTTTGGAATCGAGGGTCTGGGTTAACACCAGGGTAGTGGGGATGCGGCGTTCTCGGCGTCTCCATGCTCTTCATTGCCTGTCTTCTTTCACAGGCAGACAAGGAGACAGCCCGCGGCCAGAAATTCGCCATAGCCTCAGTGGCTTTCTTCTTCGTCTAAATGCTTGGATTTGGTTCTTCGTAAGTATCCTCTCGTCTCTCTAGATTCTGTCTGCGTTATGGTCTTTGTCGAACGTCTGTCGTACTGGACGTCTGGTGTCATCCACAGACGGGACAATGGCGAAGTGTCTGATCTCCATGGCTCATACTAGGGCAATGATTATGTAGAGCCACTAACACTTTGTAGGGTCAACTGTGTTCCCTGGGTTTATGTACCAGAGATTCTTCCTCTGGAGGCACGAACACGTGGTACGGCAATAGGCGTGAGCAGTAATTGGCTCTGGAACTTCACGGTTGCGATGATTACCCCGGTAGTTCTCAATCGCCTTGGCTGGAAGGCCTACCTTATCTTCACGGCCACTAACCTTGCTTCGATTCCTTTTGTGTATTTCTTGTACCGTAGGTGCATTGCTTCCTCGGATCCCACCTGCAACCCGCTAACGGGCAATATAGCCGAGACAAGCAATTTAAGGCTAGAGGATGTCGACTTCATCTTCTCAAGTGGTGGTGATCCAGTCATTGTTGCAAAGGAACTTCAGAGTAGTATGAAAACTGGCCTTTCCGCATGCCACGGCAGCAGCGGTGAGGCCGGGGTTAATCCCGTGTGTCAAAGCGACAAGAACAAGAAGTTGGGGACGGTATGAAGCGAAGCCATCATCAACATTCATGCTTCTACCATCAAAAGGTTCCAAACACATACATCGTCCAATGCCATTTATGTTAATGATTGTGCCGTAACCCTGTAGCCCATAATGTGCCAGTGCTTTGACGAGGAACAAATTAACACTCTAGACTCCTTTGATTGTAAAATGAGGTAAAGCTCAAAATAAGAGAACTTTTCTGTCTTTGGCAGCGTCCCTAGCGATAATACCTCCAATATGGATGGTTCTCCATTTGGCCTCCCTCATCAAAGTCAATCACCACACCCTTAGGAGGCTTTCCAAACTCTCGATCTCTCCGTCTGTTCTCCCTAATCGTCATAATTGTCATGAAGGCGCTACCAACACCGGTCCAGCAAGTGGCTGCGAAAAGTGTCCAGAACCCCTTTTCGTAGGCCGGCCCATCTGTTGACTGGAACAGATACCCAGTGGCAATGCCCATGGTACTTCCGAAAGACTGAAACAGTCCAGACGCGATTCCCTTCTTGATATCCCCACAACAATTGCTTGTAATATTACCAACACTCAATGTGACCCCCGATAGGATTCCAGTCAATATCAAGAACGTGGCACCGTATCTTGCGCTCGCTGCCGTGTGCGGTAGGACGGCCAGTAAGAGATCTCCAGTAGCCGCGACGATAGAACAGATGACTAGCAGCCCCGAGCAGGACTTCAGTCGATCACTCGTGTACCCAACTACGAATACCATCACAAACGCGACACAGTAAGGCGGTGCTACCATCAGTTGAGCTTTGACGTTGTCGTATCCAAAGGTTGCGACGATGATAGGGGTGAAGGTCGCAATCGTGTAGGTCTGAAGTACCTGGCCCATGTAGATGAATATATTCATCCACAGTCTCCAGTCACGGAGTTGGTTGAGAGTAGTTTTCCAATTGATCTTGCCGTGAGTCCGGTTGCCGTCCTGCATCATGCGCCAGGTGGCGACATCGCGCTCTCGAGGTGTGAGCCACTTTGTGTTGTGAGGGCGATCCGGAAGAACCCAGACACAAAGCAGACCGATAAGGATAGTAAGAAGACCCTCAATGAGAAACAGAGCTTGCCAATGCTTCACGATCGGATTAGAGATGTTCGCAACTCCGTATGCAACCCATCCTCCAAAGGCACCAGCCAAGGGTGTTGCGGAAAGGTAGATGCTGATGCGACGGCCCCATTCCTGTACCACGTTAAGCGATATCCAAATCTGGCGGCTATTGCGGGTTACCTACTGCTCTTGGATAGAGTACTGTCGTGAGATAAGGAGCACCGCTGATGAAACATGCTTCAAAGATGCCCAAAAAGAACCTAATGACATACATGCCTCCTGGGCTGCCTGCCACTGCTTGTAGGGTTGCAAAGACTCCCCAGATAATCTAAGTTCTTGTCAGAATTAGACACGAGAAAGAACTCCCTTTCCTGTGATAAGTCTCACCATAGCGGTCGCTAAGTATAAGGATGGCCGGATGTATCGCATTCCGATATTGGTAAACAGATCGGCTATACATGTTCCCACAAAGAACATGCTCACAGCCAATGAAAACTGCTTGGGAGAGAACCCGAGGTCCTCACGAATGCCCATCAGGGCTGCGTTACCCAAAGCTCCACGATCCAGCCATGTAAACATGTAAAGAACCTAGTCCACTGTCAAACAAATCGTCACGATCGTGAGTGAGTCCTACATAGCCACTCACAAGCAGAAATGGGGGCAGCCGCATGTCAATCTTTCTTCTCACTGCTTTGACTTCGTCTGGCGTCACAGGAGGATCAAGGTTGTTCATCCGAGCCACAATGTCGTCCTCGTCAATCGGCACCGGTGTTCCCTGCAGAGCTTCTACACCAGCGCGGCCTCCCTCTTCATCCTCTGACACACTCTTGTGGCCGAGAGCCATCGCATTGGATTTGGTGTCTGACATCTCAACTCGACGTATATTGTGGTAGGGTCTTGAAAGATATTCTTTAAATTTGGAGAACAGAGACTCTAGTGTAAATTATGGCTCGAAACAAAGCTGTTGGGCAAGTCAATGTGGTATTTGTCGGCTGTATGTCGTCACTTTTCCGTTGGGCTCGCGGTCTCGAACCTCGGTGGTCAATAGCCGTTGGGCCGCCTGCTCCCCCGCTCGTTAGGAGCTGCAGCAAGCCGATGCCGCAAACTTGGCGCGCAGGAGTAACAATGAGCTTGATTCGCACGATAAGCCCCAGTCGATTAATCCACGAGTGTTGTTTGGGTTACAACGTCGATCACTTCCGTTCAGTCTGCCACGTGCTTGAGCGGGGAAAACGGCCGGAACCAAGCGAGGCCATTCCGAAAGCTTGGCCGCCGGTGGCAGTCGGCGGTCATCAGCCCGATTTTACGAGCTTCGGCTATCGATCCGAGAATCGCATGTGTGAGGTAAGCGTCCGAATGACGGAGGTCCGCGTTTTAGGAACAAACGCTTGGATGCATATTCGAGCTTGTAGTCGTTGCGACCGGCCCGGTCTTGACTTCGAGAATGACGATTCCAACTTGCTTTTACGTATTTAATAATAGGGCATTTCGTATTGGTCGGCGCCTTTGATCTGAGGCCCCTGGCACCCCACGCCGGCCCGGGCCCGGACCCCACTAAGCTCAGATTTACGCCGAATGCGCCGGGGCCTGTCGAGTGCGCCGCTTGTCGCTACGAGACTGTCTATTAGTCAATCGGGGATCTCATTTTTGGCTTCATACCTTATGACTGCTTTTTGGATCTCATTTGAATTATGTTTAGACGGGATCACGAAAGCCGGTAGTCATGGGCGACGTAGCAAAGGGGCAAGGGGCTTCTAGAGAACTCTTGCCGCATTGAAATTCGAAATGTCGTACATATAATCTAGTGAACGATTATGAATTGTGAACTAATCTCCAATCCGAAGTTGATGTATTTCATTGCTTCGCCTTTGCCTTAAGCTCTCCACGTTCCTTCACCATGTCGGCGATGCCATCACCCAAATCAGTACCCAGTGCCTTGAATCCCTTGATAACACCTTCACGATCTCCGTCGCCTAGCTCCTGACTCATCTTGAACTTTCCTCCAAGCCTATCGATCGTGATCTCAATGCCGATGATTGCCATCTTAGATAGCTCGATATAGCGCTCCGGCGCATCAGAAACTTTCCAAGGCCCTGGCCGGTCGCCTTTGCCCGTGTAGCCCATTATTGAGGTCTCGCCCATGCGAGAGAGGTCGTCAATCTGCTTTCCCAAGAACTTTTGAGTTTCCTCGGCCTTAGACTCGTAGAAAATCTTCGCGCGTCCATAGGCTTGAACGGCAGCATAGTTCCAGGTCGGCACGACCTTTGCTGTTGTCGGTTTGGTTTCGGTGTAGAACTTCGGTGTGACGTAGTGGTGTGTAGGCGCGGTGAAGAGGACCATGACCTCCTGGTCAAGGACATTCCCGGTTCCCGTGCGGCCTTCGACCGACAATGACTCGATTATGGCTTTGCTCTGCGGGTTCGCGCGTGCAAGGTGGCCTCGTAGGACGCCGAGCTCGGTTTCGCTAGCATCGTCTTCGACATCGAGAACCCAAGGGATGTGACTGGACTGGATGAGAGGGTATGTGGGGGAAGAGATCGCTGTGGTGAGGATGCCGAGGGGAAAGTCGCGGATGAGCTTGCGCAGTGCAGGTATGCTCTGCTCAGCGTGAACAGCGCGGAGATACATGTTGTGCGTGAATGCTAGGTAATTCTGAGTCTAATAAAATGAAAGATTTTATCGAGTGTTTTGAAGGGGTTGGAAAGAGGCAATGCTCTCAAAAGAAGGCTGATAAGCGATTCATGCCTCTCTAGCGGATTGCCTCGGGCCGCCGATTTTAATAGCGCCCGGATGCTTGCTCTAACACAAGCGCCATGTTTTCGAAAGGGCGCGCGGTCCACTAATTATGGTTCTGTCGATTTAACTGACTTGGGTATCTTTCGCCTGGCTGTTAGCATGTTTGAGCGCCTCCAATTCAACATTTTACGTACGCGTACAACGGCATTGGTTGAGCCGTTGCAGATGACCAAAGATGACACCGCTCGCATCTGAGTGGCTGCTGCATTAGAGCGATTGAAGTCTTTTCTAGTTACAGCAATTCAATCATCAATCCATTGGATGTCAACCTCTTGTTGGAGCAGGATGCAATGCACACATCTCCCGAAGAATGCAGATATCTCCGCGGAGGCTATCTTTGCTATCTTTGAGGCGGCTTTCTGGTTGGTCGGCCATGCATGCTTATCTTCGTACTCTTCTCATGAGGCTGCCTTCAAAGCTCTTATTAGAAAGCGAACTAGGGCCTGCTTGCGACGCAATATTCCTTTCCGGCAACTTCAGGAACGGATGCGGGAGCGGATGCGGGAACTTTGCCGCTTCTCCGCTCATAAACCGGCCCGGTGGTGGATCCCGGTCCCACCAGCGGCCGAAGCGGCATGGTTTCCGCCGGTCAAATCGATGCGGCCGCAACGATTAAAGAAGCCATGAACATCCTTGTTGTGAGATTCAAAGCGTGAGGAGTGTCCCAAGACAACAAGTAACAGTTTTAGCAAGTCTTGCGTTTACTACCCAGGCAGACACTTTAACTACACGTTGTTCCTCGACAGCTTGTGACTGTCTCCGTTATCTCCATCCCTATCACCCTCAATATTTTGATCGTTATACAAATGACATTTGTCCCTCATATCTTTGTTCTTCGTTCGTTGACATGTTCATGGGACCGAAGGCAGGCTATGCTTGAGTAAGCTCTGCCACATGTGTTCTGAGCTCACCCAGCATAAGCTCAATTCCCCCCAAAGTGGAAACACAAAAAGAACCGTCTAATGTCTGGTCATTCGACTTAAGCACACGTACCATTGCAACAGAACTCATTTAGTTGTTTATATTCATTTGTGTCATTATCAATTACGGTCGACTTCCCATAAGGTATGTTTAGCGGAGTTTGCTCGTTCCAAGCCCTGGCCCCTGGTTATGCCGTTGCATCTGAGGTGATCAGTTCACCCTAGAGATCTTGAAACCTCCGGGAATTCTCTTCTGGAAAACGCCCTCGGGGTCATATTGGGATGCAACACTGCGAATGAAGTTGATGTTCGCGTCGCCATAGGTCTTGATAGGGTCCTGGCTAGGATCGGCATAGTTGAGGTAGCGCCAGTTCACGTTGCCATCAACGGAGAAAGCAAAGTCCTCGATTCTTACAGCTGCTGCAGCCATATGGGCCCGAGCAACGGCTTCCTGGGCCTCAGTGTTGATAGTCACGAGGCCGAGCCAGAGAATGGCGTTGTCAGTCTCACCGTCAAGACCAAGGACGTTTTCGCCACGCTCGCTGCCAATCTTGGCGAAGTAGGTTGGGAGGGGTTGGAAGACCATCTGGGTGGTAAACTCATCCGCGCCGACGGCAGCCTTCATGGTGTCGACAAAGACTTGGTGAGCATCGACGGCTTCCTTGAGGATGGATGCGTCGTTCTTGAAGGTCAAAGTGAACCAGACGCTCCTGTGAATACCGATGGTTAGCGCTCCATAATGGTTTATCGATGGATATGGATGAACCTACCGAGAGCCCGCAGGGATCTGAGAGTTCAACGCGAGGTCAGCCATGCTGCGGCGGGTCATGTCGCTGCTGATCGCGGGAATCTGATTGATCTTCGCAAAGCCGGTGGTATTGCTGTTGCCCTGAGTGTTGACGCGGGACGCAGCGATCAGGATGTCGTCGCCCATCGCGGTGTTGTGGGTGTAGACGAAAACCGCAGCATCATCAGCGGATGCCTCGCCCTTGTTGGTGAAATCGACAATAGCATCGACAACAGCGTCAGAGTTGTCCTTGGTCATGAGATGGATACCAGTGTAGAGGTCCTTCGCCGGAATCGCCTCCATGTCGAACCGAGTGACAATGCCGAAGTTGCTGCTGCCGCCCTTCAGAGCTTTGAATAAGTCCGAGTTAGTGCTGTTGTTAGCGTTGACTATGCTTCCATCCGCAAGGACGACCTCGTAGTTGATTACCGAGTCGCATCCGAAACCCATACGACCAGTGAAGTATGAGTTACCACCTCCAAGGAGGAAGCCACCCACACCGACGCCGCCATCACGGCCTCCAGTGACGGTCACGTTGTACTTCAGGAGGTTGGCGTAGACATCCTTCCAGTGGTCGCCTGGGCCGATGGAGGCCAGGTTCGTCGCAGCATCGTAAGACGACTGGTTGAAGAAAGCTAGGTCGATGGTGACACCGTTGGCAATGTTGTTCGTGCCAGCCCAGTGGTTATGTCCACCACCACGAACGGCGATATGCCAATCGCCAGCACCTGAGCCAGCGTCCACCAAGGCAGTCAGTGCGGCAGAGACCTCCTGCGTGTCCCGGGGCTGGACGAGACACCACGGCCGAAGACGGGCACTGACGGACCAATACGTTGCAATGCGTGTCTCGTAGCCCTCGTCCGTGGCAAAGACCAAGCGGTCTCCCAAGCCAGCCGTAATCAAGGCATCGCACTGTTTGGTTATCATAAATGTCAGTCGTGAAATGTATCACTATTCCTGTTTACGACAGTTGCATGACACGCATGTCGCAGGGGTTCCTGCAAGTTTACGGCGTAGGATTGAAGAAAGGGGGAAGCTTGGCGTACAGGAGCAATGCCGGTACGGTTCGTGGCGGTTGCACGAATCGCCATCGGCTCCGGGGCCTCGAGTGCGGCCGCGGAGCAGATACCGGGCAGAAACAATGCCGAGGCGGCCAAGAGGCTGGTGCTGAAGCCTCCGTTGAACATTGTGGCGTTGGCGAATGTGAGTTGCTCCACGATTGATTGAGTAAGTCCGGCGGCGATGACCCCTGGTGACGAATCGAGCGAACACAGACACGACCTTGGCGAGCTTGAGGGTGAGCAGCAGCGACCAAGTTTCCTCTTTCCACGTGGCGGTAGATAGATTTCTTATACATGACACGGAGCCTTGAAATCTGTAATGACCGAGGCCCCGAGATTATTGATGCAAGACAACGGGTCTGCAGGGGAGGAAAAACAACGCTCAAGGGGCTATCGTCGTCATGAATCCAGTCATCCTTCTTTGGGGCCAAGCTGCTGCATTGTGTCGCTCATCCTACCCGCCTGGGTGTTGACATTAGTTCTCAGGGGTCATCAAGGAAAATATGCAAGTCATTCTGTGCTAGAATGAAAAGTGGCGTGGTAAGAAACTGCCTTCGACTTGACGCGCAAGTCGATGTTACCACGCTCGGGGGAACCATGGGAAGAATTGTTGATTCTTCAACGGCACAGACTGCGGAAGAGGCGAGGTGCATATGCAACTCCGTCGACATCCCACTTCTGGTGGCGTCGTGACTGGCTGTCTTACAGCCCACTCGCTCAAGGTTGTTGGTCGTCCAGATAATGTTGTTGGTGCTTCGTTACACTCGCTTGATTAATATACTGGGCCCCAGTCAGGGGTACTTGAGCCCCCAGAATGATATTTACAGCGGATCTCGGCCTGATCGTAGGCACGGGTGCTGTCGAAATCAAATTTTACAGCAATCTAGACTTCGAGAGGCCGGAAAAGCTATCATTTCTCATCACACTTTTTGTGAGATTCTCAAGCTAGATAGAGCGAGAGAGTCAAGCCTGGCGCGATTCTCCAGTGCACGATTCAGCAGGCCCTGCTGAATTGCAATGGCGAGAATCAACTAACCAAAACTAGGTAGACAGCCGTTGGTTCTGCTGACTTGGCGAGGACGGAGCACTCCATAAATACGACGGTGAAGGTTGCGGCACAGCGTAGAGTGGTGGAGGATTCGAGCCTTAACAAGGGACCAAGACGCCGGGGAAGCATCCCACAGGCTTGGACGCTCGGTGTGGATTCTAGCCCTGTCTCCGCAGTCTGGACATGTCGCAAGGATCCTCGTCTGCAATCTGCGCTTTCAGCCATGAATTGAGGACGAAGCAAAGTCCGAGCAATTGCGCTGAAGTGGGGTGTTCCAAGTGAAGCAAGTGAACGGAATCCGTAGACAGAGACCTGGAACACTGAATGAATCTGACACAATCGCAATGCTTCAGTACGACTACCAATGCTCCTATGAAGAGTTTTCGACCCTCCTACGAACCATGCTTTCGCTACGTAGCTTCTTTCATTCACTGTTCTTTCACCTTCGGGATACTGGATCGCCATGTCTAATACCTCTGGTGTGATTACGGCTCTTCCAGCGCCTGAGGGGTATATTGTCGACTTTGAGAACCCGCAGAGACGGGATGTGGTCGAAACGTATGTGGTCGTCGGTATCGGCATGTTTCTAGCGCTTCTGTTCTTGCTTCAGCGTTTGTATGTCAAGGTGGTCATTCGTAAGAAGTTTGGACTTGATGATGGTTCGTATTCCGAAGTCAGACTGGTACAAGTTTTGTTGTTAATTGACATCGCTGCAGTGCTGCTCCTTTTTGGATGGGTAAGTTGTCTTACCTTCCCAAGCATCTTGGTTGTCCCTTGTTGTTTATTCCCGACTTTGGGCATCAAACCGCTGTGTCCCTAGGGCAGTTGGGAGAACATGAGTGCAAGACATGCTGACTTCCAGAAAAAGGTTTTCACGGTCGCTATCCAGGCATTGATGATAAGTCAGTAATTATCAAGCAATAGTGCTATTCTCGGCTGCTAACCCAGATGCAGAGGCTGCCCTGGAAGGATATGTTGGGGTTCATGGCTGGGAGATTCCAATTGAGAAGTTCAAAGACTTCACGTTCGTATGTCATCAAAGTCCACCCAAGATGTTCTCTATGCACAGTTCCAAGACGCTGACAGCCAACAGTGGAACAGCTACATCAATCCGATTGTTTACGCGATCCCACCAGGAGCCTGCAAGATGGTCATCCTGTTGTTCTTCCTCGAGCTCAACAACAACGCCAAATGGTTTAAATGGTCTGTCTACATCACGATGTTCGTGGTAGTGGGTTCCAGCTTGAGCATCCTCTTCAGCTCCATCTTCCCCTGCAACCCGATCCCATCCGCATACGACCTCGTCACCGACGGCGAATGCATCGATCGAGTCGCGACGTTCAAGGCAACTGCGGCATTCGGAGTCATAACAGATGTCATGATCATCTGCATCCCGGTACCGATGGTCTTGTCTCTGCACATCTCAACACGGAAGAAAGTTGGCCTGCTAGCCTTATTCGGCATTGGTTCAGTGTAAGGGCAAATCTCGGGAACCTTGGTGTTTCTTCATCGTATGGGCAGCGCTGACCGTACGACAGGACTGTCATCACCTCTGTGGTCCGTTTATACCTTTTGATCACCATTCTGGCCGACGCCGATCAGACGTGGGGCGGAATTTTCATCAACATCTGGGTGTAAGTCAGTCCAATCATGTCTTATCTTGCTTGATGTCTTACTTCTTCCGCAGAAGCATCGAAGCGAGCCTGCTTGTTATGTGCGCATGTCTTTCCACGCTTCGCCTCTTCTTCCACACCGTTTCTCCAAAGCTTTTCTCCTCTGGTGCAGGCACAACTGGGAAATCTGGCGGGGTGTCGGGCAACGGTTTGCGTACCATAGGGGGCACTGGAGGAGGAATTTCAGCTGGCCATCGTTCTCAGTATAACCGGTTTGACACCAGTCGCGATGAACCGGAGTATGACATGGATACTTTTAATGTACAGATCAAGGGGGAGCCTCGCGAGCGAGACGTGGAACGCGCCCAAATGAAGGATTCAGGCGGCACGTGGAATGACCCGGACAGTAGCAGCGAGAGGGCTATCGTACAAACTACTGAGACGCACATCTACATCTCAAAAGCATAGACATCAGGCACACGGAATATTCGTCTCCTAGTACACTTATGGGCCCAGTGAATGAATTTTTTGATGTTTGAGGGAAGCTTCCCTTCGCTGTGTTTCAAAGTTCCTAGATAGACAGACCTCTGAAAGCGCTTGCGATGCTTTTCGTGCTATAAGGGTACACGCACACATAGCTCAGACCTGCCAAGAACCTCAATGGCTGGCTAAAGAGGTAGAAAGGATGAACCTCAACGGCTAACTACATGCGAGAAACCAATAGCGTAGAATTCAGGGTTTCGTAAAGAGACGGAGCGATTTTGCACGCCTGACTAACTGATCTAATACTACTCTTCTATTAGTTCTGTTTCCACTCAGCAACTTAGCAGTTGTATGTAAGATAGACAACGCCGGTTTTCTTGGTCGTTCCTTGGTGTCACAACAATCCTTATTTAAGATAAGTTTTTGCCACCGCCCAAAAACTTGCTCTTCTGGCTCTTTTTGGTATACTTGAATCTATTTTTCGTCATGGCGTGAGTGACTCCGTATCCAAGCCACCAAAATACTGATGGTTAATTGCTACAGAAGCCAAGAACTGCGACGGTTGGAAAAGCTTCCTGCGGAGGTGTTACTGGTGATCCAGCAGTACCTTCCCAATGTCGACAGAGCACTCTTTGCGATTCTTAGTCACGAAATCCAGTGGAAAGTTGGTTATCATCCCAACACTCTCAGCCTACCTGAGCGCGTCGCTCTCGTATCCAAACTGGACCAATGGAACATGTATCCCGAGCTCATTCTGTGTCAATACTGCAACAAATTCCACCGGCCAGAGCTATCATTAGCAAACCAAAATGCACCCGCGCGCGAGATGCTCCCTTGTCAATTTGGAAGCGCTTACCAGAGGATACGGACGCCCTATTTCGACAGGCATCCGCACAAAAATGTCGTGGCCGGACTTATACGACGACAGCGTCTGCGCCACTTGCTTCGTTCAGTGCCCACTTCATCGAACCTGCAATCTATGACCATGATTCACAAACAAACTGACAAAATTCAGATGGACTCTTTGCGTGACCTGAAGGTCGTGGGAGGAAGATGTCTGCTGAAGATGCAAGACATCTTCTATTGCGATGACGACCTGACGAAGGCCCGCCTTCGACAAGACTCAGTAGTTCATTTTCGTCTAGGTAGGCAGTTGAGTGGGACCTGCCCTCATTTCCCTGCAGAATGGATGATACAGGAGACATTCTTGCCCAACGGTTGGAACGGTCAGCCTCACGTCAGTGTGGACAGAATACTAGATTGTCTTTGGGGCCACGAAAAGCCGTGCTAGAAGCACTGTCTGGTCTCAATCAATTGGATCCGCAGCTGCCACACCTGTCCTATGGACTATTCTATCAGTGCTATAGACACTGATGGGTATGCGAGTGGGAAAAGGGCAGTAGTTCTCACAAGCTGGAAGGACCTCGGAGATTGCCGACACAGGTACTTTGGTGTCAATGAGGATTACTACCAGAAGCAGCTGGAAAAGATTTGTGAGAATGATACGACCAGAAAGTGTGGGAGCATCTTTCAAGCGTATGAGCAGACGAGCCGGATGAGCTTTACGCCTGACTTTCCCAAGGATAGACTCGAAGGGGGTGACGAGTCGGTTCTCTTTGTACCAAGCAGAGTTGAACGACGTACAGATTAGCATCACTAGCCAGCAATAGAACATGGAAATTTAGAGTGTTATGGAGAAGTGGCCATGATTTTGACGTGCTAGAGCGACTGTTTTCCGGGTGCGCTCGCCACTATAGTCGTTGTCTTCGTCCTCGCTACTGCGGCGCCGCCTATGATCGCGTTTATCGTTGTCACTACTGTTACTACAATTGCTGCGGTTGTCGTTGTCGCTATCTTGACTCGCCGTCATGATAGTCGGTCTCAATCAAAGTCAAACTTCAACTCCTTTCAGTACGCTGAAGGTAGGTATACATGTCTGCGTAAATATTGGAAAACCAAGCCGTCTCTTGAGGAAATCCATCCTTTTGTGCCACATCTCTTCTGTGGGACATCTTCGTGTTGCCGGCCATGAGGTTAAGACGGAACTCAGTTCGGCTTTCATCTCTGCTAAACCAACCGGACCAAATTTACATGGTTTAACCAGCGACGCGGTGTCTTTATCCGAACGTCGTCGTTCAAGCCAGGGATTTCCCACCAATAAGCCCAAGCCCAGCGCTGCAGTGCGACTTGTCCAAGGATCTCCCCCGCACATCTCCAAGATTACCCCAGCCAACTTCCCCACGCCGATCTCCCACCGGCCTGGAGCGCCAGACCGCTTCGCGGCAAGATGGGAGAGGTGAACTCGTTGGTCGGGGGTCTTTTCCGACCCGCGCGGGGGGTTCAGAGGCTGGGCAAAAGCATATTTTCCGGCTTTAATTACGATTAAAGTGATCAACCCAGCGTGTTTGCACTGCGATGACTCCATTTTAACTTTTCCGTCTGATGAGGAGTTCACCCGAAAAGAAGTGGGAATGCCCTCCTGCTCCACTAAGAATGCGTCCTCCAGGGTTCGGCTGAAGCCTTTAAGATGGGGGGCGAGGACTGTCCTCAGTCGCTCGCTCTTTTTGGGATGTTTCGTTTGACCGGGAAAAACGGATAGTGTCGTTGCATCGCATCCCTGAGGTGCCTCGTAAATCATGCGTCTTTCACGATCATTCGCCCTGCTTGCAGCCGTCACTGGCGTGCTGTCGTACGCGGTGGAGCTGCCTGCCGGTGTTCCGAGATCTCTGCAAGAGTTCAGGGACGTCCACCCCTACACGCCCCCTTCGAATGGGTGTGGACGCAAGACTGTCGAGATCCGCGCTTCGAGGAACGACACGGATGACGTTTCTGAGGAGTTCCGCAAGGGACTTCAGGACGCTAATAACGGCGGTACATTGTACTTGCCGAAAGGGAAGACTTTTGTCATTGCGAAGGCTCTTGATTTGACTTTCCTGAACGACGTGCATGTTCGTCTCGAAGGAGAGATTAAGGTGCGCCACACAAGATCGCCTTCTGTCTAAGCTGCAAGTACTAACGCACTTGGCCCAGTTCACCAATGATGTCGCCTACTGGCAAGTACGTGGAAGAGAAATCTTGTATTATTCGGCATAGTTCCATGACGTTAACAACGAGCCGTAGGAAAATGCCTTCGAGCACCCGTTCCAAGTAAGCTCTTTCAGCATAGCAACTTGACGTGATTGAAGCTAACCAATGGCAGAAATCCATCATGTTCTGTATGCTATATTGCTCAAAACGCTTTGTCGCGTAACTAATTCCTCTTGCAGGGAAGTGGGGTGGAAAGGACATCAAGATCTATGGCGACGGTGTCATCAACGGACAAGGGTTCGCTGAGCATCCCTTCTATCAACAGCTTCTTGGCTGACACTTTCAATAGCCAACGCTGGTGGAATGAGTTCAACGCCGGTATTGGATCGTAAGTACCTAACAGTCTATTCGTCATACTATTCTTGAAATACTAACACGATTCTAGGATCCTGGTGAGGCGGTCTGTTCTTCGTACCCGGTCTCTCAACTGACCAACCCCAGAACCCTGACAACAAATACCTTCGGCCCATTCTCTTCTACGTGGAGAACACAACCAACCTAGAGGTTGAGGGTATTCACATGAAGGATTCGCCTTGCTGGACAAACTTCATCGTTGGATGTAAGTCATCATGATACCTTAGCCGCGACTAAGGTCATAGGACTTCATCGTATTCCCGAGACTGACTGCATCAATAGCCAGCAACATCCAGTACAAGGACGTCATCGCCACAGCGATCACGAACAACGGAAGCATTATCCCCAAAAACACGGATTTCTTCGACTCCCTCGACGTGCAGGACGTCCGCATTGAGCGTGTCTGGGTCAACATTGACGACGACTGTTTCTCCCCGAAGTCCAACAACACCAACCTCTACGTGAACACGATGTACTGCAATGGTGGGTTTGACTTCTGATGATCTATCATTCCTATAACTGACTTGGCTTCTAGGTACTCACGGTCAAGTAAGAATACGAGAAAGTCTGCGACAACACGTCGACTAACCCGTATTCTTAGTCAATCGGATCTCTCGGCCAGTACGCCGGCGAGATGTCATTCGTCAAGGACGTCCACATTGAAAACGTGTGGATGTTGAACGGAGACGTAAGATCTTCACCAATTCAGTCAATTACAATACCAACTCACACTTTCATAGTACTCAGGAGCTCGTATCAAGACCTGGGCCGGTCCTAACGTCGGCTACGGATACGTCGAGAACATCACATACAAGTAAGACTCCTCCTTTGTCACCTGCACCTCCACGAGGATTGCTAACCCAGTGATAAAGGAACTTCTGGTTGGCAAGAATGGACTACGGAATTATCCTCGACTCGTGTTATTTCAACGTGAGACAACCACGACTCAGAAATTCGTGGCTGCTTGGCAGCAGCAGGCCGCAAACGTCCGAGATCGCTAACATGGGGCCTAGATCAACGAGACCACCTGCGAGCAGTACCCTTCCGGCATGAACGTGTCCAACGTCTTGTTCGAGAACTTTACGGGCTACACGAGCGGCATCTACGGCAACGCGGTCGCGAAGCTGACCTGTTCGACGAACCCCGATGCCGTCTGCCACAACATCACGGTGAAGAACTTCAACGTCACGAGCCCCTGCGGCGGTGAGCCTGTTATCATCTGCGATGGCATCGACGGTGGCATTGACACGCCGTGCGTGAGTATCGATAGCGATGAGGCGAAGGCTGCGTTGGCGGCCAAGTGCCAGACGCCGCTTGCCCCCATCGACACTAAACCGTGGTAGACAGCGTGTTCATGCACAGTAGGACACCGCATCGTCACTTATCAAGAGAGGGAGATGGTATGAACAGCTATTATTAAGTATAGTATTAGAGTAAATATAAAGAGAAATGCAGTGTATGAAATCAGGACTCCTTCCCAATGCGAGCACATATACGTTCATTCTGAGGCGTGAAGACAACCGTCAACCTTCATGCCTAAGCTCCATTGCCTCCAGCAGGGATGGTGCCAGTACCAGATACGGTGTTCTGGAGAGGCTGGGACAGAACGACGTCGGACTGCAGAGGCTGAGAAAGGACCACGCCATCGGGCATGTCAGAAGTCACTGTGTTCGAAGGTCCATCTCCAGATGGAACGGGGTCTTCGGAGGGGGTAGACTCAGGAGTTGACTCAGGAGTAGGGTCAGCCGCAGGAGTGGGATCCTCAGCCGGAGTCGAGTCTCCAGTGGGTGTTGATTCATCAGTTGGAGTCGGGTCAGCGGCGGGTGTTCCGTCATCTGTGGGAGAAGGGTCGGCTGCGGGAGTGGACTCGTCGGTGGGAGTAGGGTCGGCGGCGGGTGTTCCGTCATCAGTAGGTGTAGGGGGGTCAACCGCAGGCGTGAAAGCCTCAGTGGCAGTAGGGTCGGCCACAGGAGCAGACTCATCGGTGGGTGTAGGGTCGTTGGCAGGGTCCTCGGTCGGATCGGGGGCAGGGATATCCTCTCCGGCAGCAGGGACAGGATCCGGCACGGAGCCATCGGTAGATGTGGCGACCGGGTCTTCAGCATTGACCAGATCAGGAATTCCAGTCCCAGTATCCGCCTGAACGGTCTGCGTGGGCGCGTCTGAGTTCACGACTGGCGGGAGATGGCTCTCTGAAGCTGGGTTGACGGTGGCGATGGCAAACCATTCAGTGCCGCCCTTCTCGGGGAGGAAACCCGCAGATGCGCTCTCTGCGTCGTAGTAGAGACCGTCCTCCTGGCGGTAGTAGACATGGGCAATGTTGATGTACTGCTTGTCGTTATCGGGGCCGGCTTTCCACACGGCGTAGACCACAGACTCGGGAGCCATGGTGCTGCCGTCGCGGTTCTTGCATGCGATCCAATCTTGCTGGATGTAGATGGGGCTGCAGACGACATCGAAGGCGGGTGCTCCAGACGGGACACCTTCGAAGCCCAAGAGGTTGAATTGAGAGCTGCATCCTCCGGGAGAGCATCCCCACTGGTAGTCGGTGGCCAGCCAGCCGTTGTCTTGCTGCTGGCGGCGGTTGATGACAGCGGCAGAAGCACCGACTGCGAAGGCGGAGGCCACGATGGCAATGCGGCTGCTGGCGACCATCCTGATGGAAGAGATTACTGGTGTTGTGGTGATTGTATTGGCTGCTTGAAGGCTGACCTGCTTGAGATCGATAACTTTCTCGGGGGCCCAGGGTGCTTTTATTGCGGGGGGCTTCGGTCAGTTTCTCGGGTGAGACAACGACGTTTGCGTTTGCGGTGAGACAGAAGTAGCGATTGTTCGCAAAGGAATCGCCTGTTGGAACGGTTTCTGTGTGATGAGTAAAAGAATGAGACTCGGACAAATGTGGTTCTCTCTTTCAATATATAAAAAAATTCCCCTCCCTGCGAATGCTGAAGCATCGTAAACATTGTGATAGTGCGCCACGACAGGCAGGAGATCGCCAGCTCGCCATGCAGATCTCCAGGACAAGCAAGCCAGAGAATGTCCGTACCCACACTAGACCCAATAAGATCACCAGCTAGCGATGTAAACGTTGTTCCCCCTCTCGGATCCGTCTGACAAACAACAGCTTTCCGGACTCGGTCACGAAATGCTGCCGCGTTTGGAAGGGTTGGCTGGGGATAGTCTCACTCCACAAAGACCCCGCCAACGCCAGGGCACGAGACCGGAGAGAGCCAGCACGGCAACGTCGCAGCCAAATTATTGGAAAGAACCGATCCAGAGCCAATCATGGCTGTCAGGCGTGGCAGTCTAAAAGGCTTAATTCAGGTAGCACCACGGCTTGTCCGCCCTACCGGGGTCGAGCCGGGTGCCCAATCTGTAAGACATTGAATCGAAGCAGTCATCCGGAGGGCTATTTTGGATGCCACGGGCCGTGGATAAGCTCAGCCCGTGGCTTGTCGGTTCACTCCGACTGGTCCGTTTCCTCTTCGGCCGCATCTCCTCTGGGCTTTCCGCCTTGGTGGGAGCTTCAAAGCAGCCAGCCGCTGCCATTCCTGCATGCAGACTTCCATGGGCGAATCCAGACGTTTGGCTTCCAGTGGTCTAGACCCAGGGGATCGAATTGGAAGCCTCTTTCCACTTAGACGCTCGTGGTCGCGGTTATCGCGATCACTATTCGAGATGGCTTCCATGAGATGGAAAATTTGAACGACTTGGCGTTGACCGCAAGCAGCATGTTCACATCCGACCCCTGATAATCCCCTTGTCAGCCAAACTGAGGTCGTATCCGACTGTCTGGTTATACAGCCGTTTTAGTCTCACTGAGACTCAGTAATTCCAGCGACGATTTTCTTACCACCCCCTCGTGCTGGTATTTCTCAATGTCGGCCTTCACGGACGCCTCTCCCGTCGTCCTCTCGCTTACCTGTCTTAGCACTTCAGCCGCACGCCAACCTCTAGCAGCGTTAGTTGTTAATACGGTTTGCCTATTTTGTAATGCTAGAGCAATTGCTGTGCGAAAACGGTAGGCGGCTCATTCACGCGTTGAATTTAAGTTACCCGGCGTCTTGCCGGTGCTGTCAACGTGCCGGTCAAGTCCGAGGGGTTGATTACGTGAGGCTTCATCGACTGCATTTGGATCAGTGAGGCCATCGGCGATCTTTCTGTTAGTCATTTTGCGCGGCGCATTACGCTAGGCCATGTATATGCCCTGGTTTCTAAACCAGAACATTGGTACATCGTTGGTATCGTGCTTTTCCTCTATCTAATGAAGGAGGCCCCTTTTCCGGCAACAAATATGATAGCCAAATCCCCTTGACTTAACAGGTAGCCATGCTGATCACTTTCATTCCCGTGGATGCTTCGACGAACTTGATCTCATGATAATATACCAATGTGAAATGCGGTGGCTCATGTTACTCGTGCTATTGATACAATTTGTCTTATAAGAGAAAGTCTCGAAATGTGGCCAGGATATTCACCACACTCAGTTGTCGCGAGATTGTCGAGAAACAATGCAGCCCGAAAATCGGTATAGTCAACGAGGGGGTCCTAAAGAACGTGTGATGCGATGTTTATTTAGTAGTCTCCGAGACCCGAGCCTCATCCACACCCGCCGCTATCCCGTGCTTATTCGAACAGGCTCTCACCTTCACTCGTATACATCGTCAATACATATGTCCGCTGCATGCCGCCCGTCGTGGCTGACTGGGCAGTTTTGCCAAGTTTGTCACCTCGTCAGAGCACGGTCCTGCTGCCAAGCGAAGTCCTTCATTGTCTTCTCCAGACCTGTCCAGGATATGGAAAGAAACCCTCTTAAATTAACGGGGACTTAATCCAAGGTAGCTCTGTGTTAGATACGTACAAATATTCAGTGGTATGGTGTTTCACAGCTGCGACGACAGACATCACGCGTAGGGAATAATCCCTGCTGCACTAACGATTCGAAAACTAACTGATCTCGGCCCGGATTTCTATGTCCGCGGTTTTGTCAAATTATGGAACTCTTCTGCGGTTCCCAAATGCATATTTCCACACAACATTCTCTGTTTTTTCCCATACCACGCTTGCGGCACTCTTTCTGAGTGGTCTCCCAGAGTCATGCCGCTGTTAAGACAAGGCCGCAGAAGACACAAACGTTACTGAAGGCTGTACTGTTACTTGGTGCTGGTGGGGATATTTTTGTAGCAATGTCAAAAAAACGTTGGTGTGTTTTCGAAACGAATCATCGGGCTGTTTTGCTTTTCGGTTTGCGTGCCGTGTGAGAACCAGTGACTCAATGACGTGCTTAAGTCTGTGTAAACTCAAAAGCTACAAACCTCGTCCTCATTTTTCATCACCCGCAGGCTGTGCTTGAAATATTCTCCCTTATTTTCGTTCTCCAAGGCTATGAACGCCTAATTTCCTCTCAAGCTGACGTATTCATACCATCTCAACAGTAACCCACGCCGCTATCACAAGCCACCCAAACTAGGTCGAGATTCAATTATAAAAGGGAGACGGCACCGAGAGGCTTTACATCTCAAACAAGACAATGAGCTGTCGTTGAATTTGAGATAAGACAATGCTTTGCCAACATCCCCTGAGTCGTTACCACCGCGATGCCCTCTCCACTAATCATCCAACATAAGGGTTTTACACAATGTTGACAGAATCATGACTTAACGCGTCCTTTCCTTCTATTACACGTCATCTCTATCTCATGTTTATTCACCTCTATTTCTCAAGCTTGCTACATCAACCAACGTCAACCATTTCAGTTCCAAACGTTCTCGCACTATAGGTATTCTTAACTTGAACGTGTACGAGAATGTATTCTTCACAGATACGATATTTCCGCTTGGTACCCAGCAATTGGAGATTCATCAAATATCGCGGCAAAGGTGTCCCCTTTATACCGGCCCGTAGACCCCGACCCAAATCTTGACACAAGCCTATTCCGGCCCTATTCCTTTCGCAGCCGAGATGTAATCGACTTCAGTATCCGACTCAGTCCCATCATAGACCTCGAGCTACAAAGCACATCTCTTCCCCCTTCGTATTTCCTATGTATAAATCGAACCACATCCCCCGCAAATCTGCTCTTCCAAGCCAACCGCAATATATCCATGGCAGGCCCTCTCTGGAAGCCAATGCAGTAGCAAGCAATCCTCGGGCTCAGCGAGCACGAGGCCACCCCGGACCTAATTCAAATGCCTAAGAGGCGATAACAAACGATTTGTTTCGTATCATTCTTCATCCTCCACCGCTTATTCCACCCTTCTGCACTCCAGCCCTGGCCCTCGTGTCTGTGACTGCGTACAAACCCCTCATGAAAGCATTGCAAAACGACGTAGGTAAGCAATATGGGACGCGTTTCCAGTAAAAGCGGCGGTTTATGGAGCGAAGCTAACATTATTCCGGCTGCCGAGTCATGGTGACAGGGACTTTACCCGCTTTTACATTTCACTCTGCTCTCTGATGATGCCGAACTATGGTCTGTGCAGACGACCGGCACCCATGGTCCATCTTTCTCAAGTACATAAAGACCACCCAAGCACTGCCAGAGTCTTCGAATTCAAGCCGAAATGTCATGGTCTCTTGGATTTGAGTGTGATGTACTGAAAGACGCTCAGGTGGCCAGACGCCGAGCCTGGTTCCAGCCCATCCTCCGCGACTCCATAAAGCACGTCTTGCCGTACACGCCTCGTTCTCGTCCATCATCGACAATCGCAGCTTATTTATCCCAAATCCTCTATCTTATTCTTCAGCCGAGTCAACGTGCACGCCACAGTTGAAAATGCTGGCTCTCCTGAGGCTTATGCATCTTCAGGCCAAGTGGAAATGTCAACAACATCGCACCTCAACGAAACGCATTCGTTGTTGCGGTTTACCTGCATTCTCCGTACAGATACTGCGCTTATATACCACCCTCGTTCACCTTCCATCACAGTGCCACAGAGCTTCCGATCTCAGACACGCAAACCATATAAAACCGTGCCTTTTCTGCCCGTTTCCTTGGATCTAACAATGTCTCGGTTGTCAAACAATCTACTACTTGATGGGCATGGTGCCACGGACATCATCCGTTTGGAAGTGTTCTTATCACCCTCAAGTTCAGAACCAGACCTCGTACCACGTCCAACGCCACAAAGACTCTATCTTCAGTGTCGTCCTTCACCATCCCGTACACTCCCGCTCTTATTCTCCCTCAATACGCAACTGTCCCCGCATCTATAGGTCACTCAGACGGTTCCTCAGATGGCAGCCAGAGCAACGGCAAAAGGCGTCAGACTCAGAAGCAGTCAGCCAGCTAAGTCACCGTCTCATCAGTTTACAGAATCGCATTGTTTGTCGTGCTTGCTCTAGGCCTCATCTGTCACAGCACCATCTAATATATACTCCCCAAGCCAGCCAAACCCCCGATCAACTAAGTCTTTCTTTCACCCTATTTTAAAAGGCAAACAAATATCTACCCACCGATCGAGAATCTCCAATTCAGTCCATTCTCTCTCATTGCAGAGGAGTGATTTATCCAGAGATTCGTCCGTTAAGACGCCCGCAGCCACATTACCCCCAGCTCCAGGCCCGCACAGCATCATGTCTTTAACCCCCAAATCTCATTCTCCATCCTCCCTCACCATCCGTCATAAGCTCGTTATTATCCGCTCCTCTTCAACATCAAATCTTACTCTGCGCTTCTCTTCATCATTACCGACCCCACGAACTCGGGACCAACAACACCCGCATGTACAGAGTCTCGAGGCATTCAATGGTGATCAGAAGCCAGTGCAGAAAATAGCATCATAAGCAACTTAACGCCCCAATTTCTCTTTTTATATGCCCCTGAAATCGCCATCCCCAGCATCGACCCCTCGTCATCCCCGAGCAACCTCACCCTCCAACATCCAAGACCCCAGACCGGCGGTCGAGTGCCCCAAACAACACATCATACCCCACCGCGATCTCCATATATACCCAAACCCGCAATCCCGAAGATTTGTCGCAACAGACAATGAACTTTCCGCCTTGCTCTGTGTGCGCGGCCCGTCGCCGGGGCTGTAGGACACGAATGAGACTTCGACACTTGCCTCAAATGCTCGGCTGAACCCATGAACTTCCCAAGTTTCCAACCTCTCGACAATGGCCTTCTCGCCGTCCCTCGTCCTCCCCGCTGTATTCTTGTTAATTCTTCCGAGGAGCCTGACTTTGGCTCATTTCCTCATGAGAACCTGACCTACTTTTGTGATATTTCCTCCGGGACGACCTCATTAGCATCACCTGTGTCTTCCTGGCGCCGCCAGCCCCCCATTGGCGCCTGCTCTGCGCATTCGTTGCCCAAGCTTGTCGCGTCTGGAATATCCGCATGTCCGCTGCCCCATCAGTCACGCCTCATCCAATCGCGGTTAGTAACGAAGGCTGAGAGAACCGCAAGGATGATCCAGCTGTCTCATCACAAGTGACTGATCATTCACAGCATTCCTTATAGCAACTCATCAACATACATCACACATCACGCAAGACCTCACATCCAATGCACTTGAAGGGGGCAAAACTCATTGAACTTTCTCCTGACCACCAAAGCATTGCGACATGGGGCCACTTGACCCAGCAGCATACTTGGAACTGTTTGCGCGCCGTCCGTTTCCTCCGCTGCAGGACTCTTCTCGTCTTTTCCTCGCGTGCCCCTACACTCTCCTTTCTAGCCCATTTCGTGAGGCATCTTGTTGTGTGTTCAACCCCAACCACCGCGCGAGTACCTTTTCAATGAAAGATATCCCGACTCAATTGCAAACAGGTTATGGCCTAGAGCGTATGCGCCTCTTGCGAGGAACAAGTACTCCCCCTTCCCACGGTAAACCCCAATCACTTGACAGGGCTCTCTCTCCCGAGGAAGGACGCGGCCGACTCCGAATTGTGTGTTGACGTCGTTCGTTTCCCCGTCTCTCATTGCTCTCGTTTCCCCGTCGGAAAATGAAAATAACAAACTCCCGGTTCCGTCTGAGGGAAACTCCTTCTACATGACTTTTAGGTCGCCAGCGCGATTCTATGCGAGGCGTACATGACAATGAGGACTCCCGCCTCCTCTCTAATCCAGCCATCCGTTGCGAAAATCAAAGTCCAGAAGATACAGCCAAGGGGTAAGGGGTGATGTGTAGTGTCAATTGGTGAAGTGTGCTGGCAAGGGGTATTGGTTGGTGAAATTAGTCTTTGGGGAATGTGTAAGGTGTCTATATACACGTGAGTGGTCTCCGTGTTCGATGCTGTGTAGTGACAAGATGAGGGCTGTGCTGTCTCCTAGTTTGACGCAGATCCGGGCTTCGACGAGTGGAAACCGGCTGCTCCAGGGTACGCGCTGAGCTCGGGGAATGGGTGTGGATAATCAAACAGGTAAGAAGTTGTAATTGGATATCGAGGGTCAGCTCAGGTCTGGGCCATGACGCTGGAAGAGCCGCCAAGCTGGCGCTTGACCTGTTCCCTAGCCCAGCGCGCGGTCTCAATGGTCCTAGCCTGGAACTCGCGGTTCGTCTTGGTCTCCTTGATCAGGGCGGTAAGCCAGTCCTGGCGGAAGATCTCGACGAGCTCCCCGTTAGGGTAGGCCTCGGCGAGGTCACCAATGACACCCATTGCTGCCCTCATGAGAGCTTCGCTGCGGTTCATGTCGCTAGCAATCTGGTTGAGAAGCTGGAAGATCGAAGGAACGTAGGGCTGGAGAACGGTGGCTGGGATTTGTTAGCAGTGTACATCATTAGGCGTTGGGATAGTAACTTACTCTTGTTGCTGGCTCTCATGGCACCAATAATGCCACCCCAGGCGTCCATGATTCCCTCGCGCAGAGAAATGACGTAGTCGTACATCTCGTAGGGGCCCTCAGGACCAGCGTTGACAGTCGCGGCCTGTTGCAAAACCCCAGCAATGACGGACAGGTATGTCTCAAAGTGTCCGCCAATGGCACCGGCAATATCGCCAAAGCACTGCAGGATCGCAGGCTTGAACTGGTTGCTGAGACTGGGGCTCTTCAGGTTGTTCAGCAGGTGGTTCATGAAGTTGTCGCAGTACGGCTGGCTCTGCTCGCCCAAGCTACGGGTGAGATCGCTGACGAGTCCGATAGCCATGGCGCACAAGCTGGGCTCCTCCTGGTTGCCAAGAGCGTTGTAGAGGAAGGGCGTGAAGGCCTGCATGTACTTGTTGAAGTCCTCCTCCATGGCGTTGGCGAGCGCGCTGATGGTGGCGAAGACGGCGTCGGGAACGCTGGACTTGCCGCCGATGGTCTGGAGGATGGAGAGCAGGGTCTGCATGATGCGATCACCCTGAGGAATGATCTCCTTCTCCAACCTGGTGATGATGGCCTGCAGAACCGTGCACAAGCTGGTCTGCATCTCCTCAAGCATGATCTTATCCTCGACGCTAACGACCTGGCTCTGCATGGGGACGGTGCCCTCGAGACGCTCGATGATGACGCCGGACAGCGAAGCAATGGGCTGCATGCTCTCGGAGGCGGCGTTCTGGACAAAGACGTTGAGGACCTCGTAGGCGGCGGTGCGGACGTACGAGTCGCAGTCGGGGCGGGCGGTCAGACCAAGCAGGTTGGTGACGCTCTGGTTGAAGTGGGGGGTGAGAGGGTTCTGGACGGCACCGAAGTCGCCAGAGAAGCGCTCCGCCAGGTTCATCAGAGCCCAGCAGCAGGAAGATGCTATCTTCGCGTTGCTCATGAGGCCGTTGAACAGAGAGCGGATAAGGGGGTCGAGGTGCTGGTTGGGGTCGATGCTCTCCGACACGCTCTCGGTGATGCGGCCGAGGGCGTAGGCGGTAGAGTCCTTGACATGGAGGGAGCTGTCGTCCATCATGCCGATGAGGATAGGAAGAGCCTGCTTAACGATGGGGTCGAGGACCTTCTCGTCGGGGCCGTCCATAATGGCGCCGAAAGCAGAAACGGCGGCATCACGGTGGTGCCAATCCTCAGCACGCAAGTTGCCCTCGACGAATTGAAGGACGGGGGTGATGATGGCGGCACCGATAGCCTGGGAGTAGAGCGCGAGACACTGATAGGCGGCACGGGCCAAGTTGTACTCGTCATCGGCGGCATCCTCGTCCTGCTTGGTCAGAAGCATAAGGAGGACGGGAACAACCTCGTTAGCAGCTACGCGGGCGAAGTTGTAGAAGGGTCGCATCTGGTCGGCGCTCTCGACCTAAAGAGGCAATCGTGAGTGTGGGTCATTCCAAAGCAAAAATTCGGTTCAGCCTTACCTGGGCATTGTCATCCTCGATCTGGATCTCCTCCTCGCACACAGTGCTCCAGAACTCCACGGCCAACTTAGCGACGTCCTCGTCTGAAGACTTCATGCCCAGAATGGTGAGGCCGAACAGCGCCTTCTCCATGTAGAAGCGCATGTTGTCGTAGTAGAGACCCATGATACGGTTGAGGCAACCAAAGGCGCCCTGCTGTATTCTGGAGTCATCGGCCTGGGTGGCCTCGCAGACGACCTGCATGATGTAGTTGCGCTCGCCCTCGTGCTTGAAGTTGTTGCCGACAAACTCAAGCGAGTCGCCGAGAGCCGTGATGGCGGCCAGGCGGACCTCGAGGCTCGTCTCCTCCTTGCGGGCACCCTGGACAACGGCGGTCAAGATGGCGTTGGAGTGGGCAATCAGGGCGGTGCGCAGATCGGCATCTTGGCTTTCGCAAATGTAACCGATTGTGGTGAGGGAGGCTTGCTTCTGGTGCTCGGCGCCCTCGCTGACGTTCTTAACCAGAATGCTCATCAGGTCCTGCCACTGGTTCCTGGGGAGCTCGAGGCCGGCGATGGAGGAGATGACCTGGGCGGCGGCCTGGCCAGCCTGGCTGTTGGAAGAGGCCAGTGTTTGCAGGGTCAAATTCTTGACCTGCGTCTTCGTCTCGTCGTCTGTCTGCTGGAGCCATTTTGTCTGGAGTTCTTGATGGCGGTTGAAATCACGGGCGGTGAAGGCGTTCTTGAGGGCGAGACCGGCGGCAGCACGGATGGAACCATCCGCGCTCTCGTTTGCAAGCTCTTGAACGAGGGTTGCGAGGTATAGGGGCTGTTGGGAAGACGAGCGAGGTTAGCAAAAACTTGATCGAAGCGGTGGGGGGCAAAGGGGAGGGACTCGGGGACCCGAAAGTGGGCGGGCACGTACGAAGTTGTTCTCGGCGGCTGATGTGAGTTGCTGCTCGGCAGCGTTGCGCAAGTTCGCGTCTGGTCATGAAGTGTCAGCCTCGTCATCGTCTATAGGTCGTTCGTGATGCGCGTTGGGGGTGAGGAGCCAAGAGAAGGGCAGGATCTGTCTCATCGCCGTAGCGACCAGGGTGGGTTCGATGGATGGCAACGGCGACGAGGCAACTCGGGGGGCAAAGACAGAAGTGCAGCGACGTAGGAGAAGGGACAGCGAGGATGTAAAACTTACCAGGCGACAGCGAATTGGCCAAAACCTGGTTGATCTCTGAGCTCGACATGATTGCGGCTCAATGTGGTGTGTAGCAGGAAGTGAAAGGCCGAGCCAGTGCCAGTGTTGAGAGGTAGCAGGTCAGGTTCGGAGGGGGGGCTCGTTGACAGGTTGCACGTGTCAGGAGGTGGGAGAGGAAGTGTTCAAGGCACCGCACCTCAGGGTCAGCAGCAGCACGGGAGACGCGGGGATGGTTTGTTTTTTTGCGGTCTGGGAGCCGGCAGCAGCCTAGGCGAGAGGAAGGTTCAGAGTTCGCGCGGCAAGGCGGGCGCAGAAAGGTACGGACGGTCCGGGGGTGGGCGGCGGTACTCTGTTTGGTTGTAGAGAGGCGAGAGAGCGGCAGAGAAAGGAGAAGAGGAAGAAGAGACCGAACAACGGCGCGGAGAGAGTGAGAGTGTGAGAGACTTTGTTGTGGTGAGTGAGAGATAGCGAGAGGGAGAGAATTTCGCTGCTCTGTGGTATCCGTATTAAAATAACGAGTCTTGTGGAAAAGTGACTTTCGGGGACACGACGGAGGATGGATGATGGCTTTTTTTTGGCAAAGGAATTAGATGCGTACCGGTTAAAGGAAAAAATAAGTTGGTCGCAACAACAACACAACAGACGAGAGGGGAAAGTTGTGAGCAAAGTCAGGTTTTTTTCTTGGGTCTCTCTCTCTTTTTGGACGAAAAGCAGCAGGAAGGAGGAGAAAAAAAACAATAGGGAGCGGGACCTCTGGGCAGGCGAGGTTGTTGACGATCAGAGGACGGGGGAGGGGAGCTGGGTTGCCTTTCAGCGTGACTGGTTCGTTCCTCCTCCTTTTGCTGGGCTTTCAGCAGGTGCTCTGCTGTGTCTGCGGGAGAGACAGCAGCAGCGCGGCAGGAGGGGCAGCGGGGGATCGATCAGTGCAATGTAGCGGCGGATGGCATGCAGGCAAGTTTCTTAGCAGACTGGACATCCCAGATAGGTACCTAATTGCCTGCCTGCCTGGTAAGAATGGAAGGTATCGCTGCTTCTCCAGGCGGCAGCAGGTGCACGACAAGGCAGGGAAGGAAGGTGCCGTACCGTCCCGGGTAGCGGTTTCTTTCTTTGGCACCAGAGGACGGGAGTCCAGTCCAGTCCCAGTCCAGTCGCTAAGGTAATTACCTTGCCCTCTGGGTACGGGCAATGAAAGGCCCAGGTCACGTATTCTGGCCCAACCAACCGGCCTATGCAATACAGTGCGTCCTTTGGCTGGCTGGATGTAGCCGGGAGCCGCTGCTCGCTGGGTAAGGTACTTCAGGCTTAGGTCGAAAAAGTGGGCGGCACGAGATGGCGTTAAATGAGTGTGGGGAAGGAGAAGAGCTTCTGATGCAAAAAACCGAGGAGGGGTTGTTTCTCTCTGCTTCTAGCCTGCACTCCTTTTTGATGCGACCAACTCCTACACTCTGCAAAAGGCTGCCCGACGACTGGACCTGATACCTACTCCGAGGGCAGGCAGGAAGAAAATGGGAGCTCAGTCACTTGAGTCTCATTTTCTTTCCCATCCCAAGTCATGTCTATACCATGAGTGTCCATCAAAAAGGCGCTGACGACAGTCGCAACGCAGAAAAAAACAAAACAAACTGGATGCGGGACATTTGTTTTTTCCTTTCCTATTGCGGCCATCTCTCGGGCACAGTGCACAAAAGAGAAAAAGCTCAGACCAAGCGCTACGTACCCGTCCTCTCTGCCTGAGAGAAAAAAGACACCGATTCCCCGCTACGTCTCCATCATCCACAACCTCTCTCGCCACCTGTCCTCTGCAGCGCCCTCCTGTACCTCACGATGCACCTCTAAGCCGGATCAAGTGTCAAGCCCCCCACCGCATCCCATCTCACCAACCAAACAGTGAGGCTAAACCCCCCCAACAGGTACGACCAGAACCCCACACCTGCGAAAGGGGAGGAGGAGGGGTTCCAGAACTGCTAGAGTCAACCAAGCCTCACTCAATCACGCACTGAGTCTTCGTTCACTCTCATCCACTGGACAGTATCTCCCAATTATGCCGTCCAGGGCTGCATCTGCATGTCCTTGGTTGCCGGGGCCGCCGCTGCGCGGTTGCTCATCTCGTGCAGGATGCAGAAAAAGCCAAAAGGAAGATACGGTGTGTGGTGTGTGACTGACTGACTGTGTGAGAAAGTGTGTGTGTGGGTGGTCCGAAACAATCTGCTGCTGCGGAGGAGGAACAAAAGAGAGCAGCCAGACGGCAGCAAACCAAGCCTGCAGGTCAAGTGACAAGAAACCAACATCTTAAACAAAAATATTGCCCCTCGTTTCGTACGCAGTCTCGGTTTGGCGGGGGGTTGCCAGAAAAGCAGTCATCTCAAAGGCCAACCAATCCATTCCCCCTCCTTTTCCAGGACACATACGCACAGCAGAAACTGTGACGTCCGGGAAAGGGGACAAGAAAGCAAGATAAGCTAAACAAGATTGAGACGAGCCGCCTGCCGCTGCCTGACCTTGCCCTGTCCGTGGTCAATGTCATTGCCGATTTTTGCTCACCCTACCCAGAGAGCAATGCGTAAGGCTACCCGCCCGCGTTTCCTTGCTGCCGCCGGTTTTGTGGTTGGGTGACAGCCCATCCGAGCCCCCGAGTCAGACGTCATCCTGCTCATCAGGTTTCCAGGCAGCCGGATCCGAGCGTGGCCCTTTTTCGTTTCCCGCTGGCAATTAGGAAATACGATCTTGGCCCGGGCCACCACCTCTCATTCACCCCTATCATTATTATTGCCCTTTACCGTCTGCATAAGGTTGACATTATGTGAAGCACTGATCCAGATGACTCATGCCCAATTCAAATGCTTTTCATTCGTTCGTTGGAATCAAACAAAACAACCCTTTCATACAAGTAAAAAATCGGCCATCAAGTCCAAAGTGAGGGCTTACATGGCCATGCGAGCAGCATCATCCTCCATGTCCCATTTTTGATGTCACCGAAAATGCATCTCCACCAAAACTTTTGCCTCGTCCATATGCCTCACCAACTGGATGATACCACCCCCTTACATGCCGTTCGCCTTCTCCTCCAGAGCCGCAACGATGTTCGGCGTCTGCCCGTTGGTACCGTTCGTACCATTCGTAGGCTCGAGGTCCAGCTCTTGGCTCAGAGATCTCGTCGGGATGGGCTTGGCCAGGATAGGGCTACCGGGGCGGCTGCCAACAAACTGCAAAGGTCTTTGTTAGCACGGGACTCAATATCTTTTCATACGATGGCACTCACGTTGCTGGCGGCACTCAGGAGGGCAATCAGAGAACTCTGGACCACATCCTCGTGAATACCAATACCCCAGTACTTCTGCTTGGTGCCCGTGGCGGTGCACTCGATGTACGTAGCAGCCTTGACATCGCGACCGGCACCAATAGCGTGCTCCTTGTAATCCTCGACGTCCAGGTTGATGCCGACGCTCTTCAGGGCGTTCGCCAAACTGGAGATGGGACCATTGCCGCGTCCGCGCAGCTGGTACTCCTTTCCGTCGATCGAAACCACGCCCTCGAATACTCTCTTCAGGTTCTTGGTGTCTTGCGTCTTGCCGGGCGCAGGCGGCGCGGGGCTCTGCGAACGATCGGGGGTAATGCTGTAGTCCACGATGGTGAATCTTGGGTTCTCGCGGAGGTAGTACGTCTGCTCAAACAAGTCCGTAATCTCTTCTGACAACAGTTCCCGGCCAAGGGAATCTGTCTTATCCTGCACGACCTTGGAGAACGCAACCTGCAGCCCACGGGGCAGGTCAAGCTGCAGCTTGCGCAGAATAATCCATGCCGCGCCACCCTTGCCGCTCTGGGAGTTGACACGGATGATGGCCTCGTACGTGCGTCCAATATCGGCAGGGTCGAGGGGGAGATAAGGAATCTGCCAGCGGTCCTCGTTCTTTGCGCCCTCCTTCTCGCGCATCTGGAAACCCTTCTTGATGGCGTCCTGGTGAGATCCTGAGAAGGCGCAGACAACCAGGGATCCGCCATACGGCGCGCGGGGGTGCACTGGAATCTTATTGCAAGTTTCAACCATATCGATTACGCGGTTGATATCAGACAGGTCCACGTTTGGCCAAATGCCTTGGGTGTAAAGGTTCAGAGCAAGAGTGACAAGGTCGACGTTACCAGTACGCTCACCATTGCCAAACAAACATCCCTCGACTCTGTCGGCGCCGGCCATCACGGCTAATTCAGCTGCCGCTACACTTGTGCCGCGATCGTTGTGGGGATGCAAAGATACTGCGATCTTCTCGCGCTCAGTGACGTTGCGACAGAAGTACTCGATCTGGTCAGCGTAGATATTAGGCGTAGCCATCTCGACGGTGGCGGGCAGGTTGAAAATGATGGGAACCTCGGCAGACGGCTCCCACGCCGCCTTGACGGCCTCGCAGATGCGGACGACAAACTCGGGCGAGGTGTCGGAGAAGGTCTCGGGGGAGAACTCGAACTGCCAGTTCGTGCCGGCCTGGGCGGGGTCGTCCTTGGTGAGGGAGCGGACGAGCTTGGCGCAGCGGACGGCGAGCTCGACGCTCTCGTCCTCGGAGAAGCCGAAGATGACGCGGCGGAAGCACTCGCTCGTGGCGAGGTAGATGTGGACGATGGCGTTCTTGGCGCCCTTGAGGGACTCGACCGTCCTCTTGATGAGGTCCTCGCGGCAGGGGGAGAGGACCTGGAGGTATACGTCGTCGGGGACGGCGCCGGGGGTCTCGATCAGGCGGCGGGTGAAGTCAAAGTCGGTCTGTGAGGCGGAGGGGAAGGAGACCTCGATCTCCTTGTAGCCGAGCTCGCACAGCATCTTGAAGTAGCGCCACTTCTCGTCGCCGTTCTGTGTTTCGAGACAACAACCGTTAGCGCTGGTGGTACTTTCGACTACTGACACTGGCCGAGACCACGGATTGTTTGGACTTCGTCGTGTGAATCAATTGGAGGGGAGAGGGAGTGACATGCCATTGGGTCGACCAAGCTCTGGTTGCCATCACGCAGATCCGTCGACAGCCATCGCGGGGCTTTTGTGATGGTCTTGTCGGGCCATTGGCG